GGAGAAATAAAGATGGAAAGAAACGAGGATTCATCATCAGTGCAGCTAACAGTCAAATAAACTTTTTCTCAACAATCTTCTTATATTTAAAAGAAACCAATTATACTTGCAAGTCACTTGCAGAAAATTTTAATAATTTGCCAAATATACAGCTATTAGAATGACCCTAAATATCACTAATAATTAAGTTACAAAAGTTGGTAGATAGCACAGTACAATGTTCTATAAAATAAACATGGGTAATATTAACAATACTCCCTGTGGTCCAGGAATGTCAGAAAATAGCAAAAAGAAATTACAAACACATACAGATCAGAGGAGATTGAGGGGAAGCTTTAGACACTTGGATCAAAGAAACTGAGACTAGACTAGACACATTCATTCATCAACATCATGAATGTAGAACTTTAAATCTCAAAAACAATTAACAACACAGCCTCAGGTGCAATTTCACATGGTTTCAGCTATGTTCCAGTACAGTTCCCAGAGGATTAAAGTGCCTTTGTGCACTGTAGTTTCATTTAGTCAGGTGCAACACACATTGTGTTTGGAAGTTACTTTTTTAAAAAGTGACCCATGAAATAAAATAACTATTTGAACCAATGTCCATAATTCAAACTAAGATGTTTTGAAGTATCTTTGTTCTGACTTTGCTACTAAGTGTCATGTAACAAATTAAACCCCAAATCCACAAGGCTTATCTCCACTAAACAAGACCAGAGTAAAAGATATTTATTGAAACATATTTTCTGCAGTACAACCCTTAGTTTGCTTATTTTCCCCTTTCAAACATATTTGCCCTTTAGATGACAATTTTCTACTGCAGTTTCCATTTACAGGTTGCTGTGAACATGAAAAGCAGGCAGATTTGGCCCGTGGCTATGGTGATGACACTTCCCAGGTAACATCCTGCTTTAACCCAATGAATAAGCACAGCACATTCTCTCTGTGGGACACCTGGGGATCTGCAGCCTTTGGATCCTCCCTGTAGCCATTCCCTGTGCTGCTGCACAGAGCCAGGGTCCTGCTCAGGGCTCCTTAGGAACTCCCACTGCTCTGCTGTACCACCTCCTTAACTGCAGTGAGGAAGGGAAACTCCACAGAGCTCAGCTGTCACTCACCTTGTCCCCAGAACATCCTCTGCAAGTCATGAGTAAAGAACTGGCTCAAAGCCTACAATGCACTCTCCCATCAGATCGTGCTGCCCACCAGCTCCACTCCTGCTCTTCCAGGGGACAGGGTATTCCCACAGTATCTGAGGCATCTCATGGTGTTTTTCAGTAGTGGCACTTCAAGAGGAGTCATGGGGCATAAGCTTTTTAGGAAATAAAAATTTCCATTGTGATGCCACCTGTGGCAAGGGCACTCGGGGGGAAACTGCACGTAGGGGAAAAAAACCCAAAAGAAATTAGGAGAATGAACAACTAATCCTAACTTCAAACAGCAAGTGTGGATGTGAGTCTCCACTCTTCCAGCATCTTCCTACATTTGAGTGTGCTTCCCATCATGAAGGGAGCAAATCACTCCAATGATTTTAGGTTCACAATGTGAACATTCCTGCACACCTGACGTGGCCAGCACAGGTGATGCTGTTCCTTCACCACTGCTGCTCTCACACCTGAGAAGGCCATTTTAAACTCTGCACAATCCAGATCACAGCAAGAGCTCTCTGCAGGTGAGCAAGTTTTACTGGGGGTCCAGATTTGTAGCATGTTAACATTACTCACAATATTACATGCACTGAAATATTTTAAGAACATATGCACTCTGTTAATCAAATTAATGGAAAATAGTGGTTTCCTAATTTACTCAGTACTTTTAAAAGTTCTCCATGAAACTGTGACATTATGGAAAAGAACACCCTGGTTATACACTACAGTAGAAAAAAACAAAACAGTGCAAGTTTCATCAGAATCACAACTACCAGTAAAATCTCCAGTTCAGTTCATAAAACAAATTGATTGAATTATGTGAAGTATTTCATAGTGGTATAGTAACTTCCAATGCAATTTATGCAACAAATTTCACCCATATTCAAAAATACATTTGTAAATGCTTTTCATAAAACTATATACAACTCAAGTTCCCCTCAGGTAATCTCAAGCACAGTCCTCACACCACCTAGGCAGAAGCCTGTATTCACTCTCAGAGTCCATGAGTGACAATGCTGTGTGAGTTCTTTCTCTTTGAGAGTCAGCTCTGCTAAACCCAACTCTTATTGCTTAAAACCATCAGTTTCCTCACCAGGCTGGGGCAGCAGCCCACTGTTTTATGGACATAAACACCTACAAGCCTTGTAGCCATTCCTGTAAAGGTTTCCATGGGACAGTTCCCTGTCCAGAGAGCAAAAGGGGCAATGCTGAGAGGGAGGGAGATCACTCATTGAGAGTGCATCAGTTCAGTGACCACTGTCTCCCTCTTCATCTTCTGATTAATTACATATTCTGTTTAATGATTTCTGTGAATACATTTCCAACTGTAACTGAAAACAACTGGCTCAGACACAAGACACACCAAGCCTAAAATCTGCAAGAACAGAAGTGTGAATATAAGGCCTCTGCAGGCTCAAACTCACAGCTGGTACTATGCCCAAACATCTCCACAGCAAGCTTTATTCACACAATTGCCAATAAAAAATACTGTTACTTCTCAAGCTACATTTTAAATTATCAGAAATACATTCATAATAACTACTGGTACAAAAACTAAGATAAAATTTTTTTATTCAAAATATTCTGACAGATTGACAATATTCCAGGCATGTTACAAATGCTGCCATAGCCAACAAAACAATCAATACTTAAAGAGCATTCAAACACTGAGGACATGTATCTTAAAGCAGAGACAGGAGAGTGCATGGTACTAAGTGCATACTAATCATTTTCCAATAAATGACTTGAGGAAAATGCCTCGTTTCTCTGGTACAAAATGGATTAAAACCCAGAAGAGATGAATTAGAGAGGACAAAAATGATGATGTTAAAATGTTTTTGCCCATACTTTCCTATAAAACCTTGTAGCTTTTTCATACAAGGCCACTATCAGTCTGGACTACTCTAGTGTTGACTATTTAAGGGATAGAACAAGAAAATCATAACAGAGAAACCAGTGACAAAGCAAACAAAACCACAAACTCTTTCTAGAATATGGCTTAAATTAATTCACAGAGAGTTGGGAATATATTAACTATAAGGTGCAAGAGAAATACCAGGTAGGAAACAAGTTCCTTCCTCTCTTCCTGGTACTTTCCCCCTCAGACTTCACTGTATTTCACATAAAATTTTTAACACACTGGTCTCACCCTTCCTGCAAGCCCCTTTTTCCATACTTCTAAAACATGATGTTACTAAAAGGTTGATTTCATTCTTGAATGTATTGGCCAAACATGAGTTCTAAAGTTTAAACCATGTAATTCTACACATAGTAATACCCTGTTTCTCCTAATTAACCCAAGTTCTCAAATAGAGCTAAAAATTCAGCTTAATTTAAAACAGCATATTTGCTTGAAAAAGTATGAATCTCTTTGTCATGTAGAAAACAGATGTCCAATGAAGAACTTGTCAAGATGTGAACACAGCTGAGTGCATAGTGCAGAACATCATACAGAGAGAGCAGCAAGGCCACAGGGTCACTAAGTCCACATGAAAAAGATGTATGTTTCCAATGACCAAATCCATTCTAAAACATTTGCATCCTGGAAATGCTTTAAGCATTAAAATCTTGCTCTAGGGATGGCAGGATTCCCCCATTCCCACTTTTCATACAGCTCACTGTAACATGCATGGCAGCACAGCCACCTACACAGCATACAGAGGAGACACACCAAAATTGCTTTGGATACATCATCCTGATCCCAAGTATTCCATACAAATGTTTTTTTTTTGTGAATTTTTTTCTTGTGAAAAGGAAGGAAATGGGACAGCTTTCAAATGACACCGCTTCCCTGTGTGTCATTAAAGAAAGCTGCAGTGTCTGGAGCCCAGGAGGGAGAGCCACAGCTCCTCTGGCACGAGCGGTGGCACAGCTGGTGGCTCCGAGGCTGAAGGATCTCACAGGAGGCTCCTCTGCCTCTATTGCTCGAGGTTCCATCAGTGCTTCCCAGCAGCTGAAGCATCAAACACTCACTGCAAAAATGCAAGTGGCTTACAGCCAGCAGAGCTCTACATGCTCACCCAGAACACTTGCTTCCCCATTGCACTGGTCTGCTTTTTAAAGCAATGTTGTTGGAGAAGGGCCACGAGAACAACAGTGAGACATTTTCCTTAATCACAGCATCAGACACTCCATTAACAGACTGACATAATCTCCTAAACCAAATCAGTTCCTGGAACATCTTGCATTTGCCTTCTTTTGCTCCTTCTTAGGAACAAACAGTTTCTCTAGAAGTTGTGCAGTTTAAGCCTGTTATGGTATTGTACTCCAGCATTTCCTTAGCACCTCAACACAAATTACATGGTAGCTCATCTGTGGTGAACATCAGCTACACACATCCACGAAGGGGGAAGGGCTGAAAGAACAACAATATTGTCCCATGACATGGAAAAGCACTTTGGGATGCACTGGCTTCAGGTGAGACTGCTGACTCAGAATGGGATTTCTCTCCAAGCAGAGTTACTCCAGTTATTCAAATACAGTAAACACAAGGGCAGTACTGAGGACATCAATCCTGCACCTTACAACTTTCAGTCTATTTTCTAAACACCTCTTAATGGAGATGTGGCTCAGTGTCAAGGCTAAATGGGCAAAAATGTCATCTATGCTAAAGTCATTAGAGGAACTAATATAACCCTTGCTTCTGGTAGTCCTTGGACTTAAGCCAACCACATACATTTCATTCTATTAATTTACCTATCCCGCTTTATCTCAAGTATCTTCATCCTTTCACACTTCCTAATTAACTATCAATATTTTTCCTGAGTGAAATTATAAAAAGTTAAACCCTTCTACCAAAAGTACAAAGACAAATAAAATATAGAACAATACAAACCCAGTTATACAGCATTACAAGTGCAGAAATTCTTCATGTTGTTGCTCTTTATCATTGGCCCCCAATAAAAAACATAGCAAAGAATTTAGTTATCCAAAATATTTTGCAGTACTGTGATGAGATTCTTCAGACCATAAATATAGCCCTCATCCTTTGTGTTGCTGGGAAACACGTGAGCAAAATCGATCATTCGGACCTCGACCTTTGCACTTTCCTTGGGCTCTGCTGGCATGTGATAGAAAACTTTTTCCAGTTGGGGTAGAACATTTCCATTCAGGTGCTCCTGTGTAATGCATGTGCTGCTTTTCCACACATTGTCTTGCTCTGAGTCCTCAACTTTTAGTGAGAGCTGGCTGTGGTGCCTCTTGGAGCACGACTTTTTGTGAAGTGCATAAAATTTAGACAAGCCTTTACCTACAGAGGCTTCAATTTTTCCATTCTCTGTAGAATTTATTACATGAATATTATTATTATACTCCAATACATCTCCACCTGACAGCAGGCCTTTGGGTACTCTTCTCTTCTCTGCCAAGGTGACATCACTCAGCCTCACGGTTGTTGCTTGGCATGAGCCCTCATAGACAAACAGCAGTGAGCTTGCGTAGAAGTTGAGCTGTGTCTGGCCCTCAAACCACTCCAGAATCTTTTCAACCTTCTGAATGCTGGCAGCTATCACATCTTTTCTCAAGCAGTACCCACTGTGGAAAAACTTTGAGATGCCTGCAAGAAATAGACACATACTGGGATTATTTTCACTTCTGAATGGAAAACAAACTAATTTTTTTTTTCTTTTGGGATGAGAATAGTTCTTCTTTGAAGGAACAGACACCATTCAGGTAATTTTTGTTCAATTACTAACTAAACCCAAAGTGAACCTGGGAACTCTGAGACCTTCAGTCACATCACTGCTGTGTAATACTGCAGTTTGGACTTGGGTTGTAAGTACAAGTAAATGCATCAAGCACACAGTAACAGAACATGGTACCTGCTCCTGGTCAGCTGAACAAGTGTCTGGACAGTTTTGGGCAGGGACCCATTAAATTCTCCATGCACTAACAGGCTCAAACAGCTTGTTATTATGAGTGTGTTTGTGTGTGCACCTTCTGTCCCTTGCTGGGGGACAGATGAGCAGGTGTCAGCTAATATCAAGTCTGCAATCATTATCACCAAACACCCCACGATGGCATTTTTATTAATTGTTAATGCAGAGCAACATGTGGATTGACTTCAACTGATAAAGTCCTTTGAATTGAAAGATGCTTTTGTAGTAGCTTTCTAATAGAAAATACACTTAGATATTCACTGAAGACAACTAGAGACAAAAAAATGTATTTATAATAAAAACATGCAATACTTTTACAACATTCTAGTTTCAAAGCTGCAAAGAAGTTGAATTCTAGAATTCTCTCCCTTATTAATAGTAAGAGAGACATGAGAAGGAAATTCCTATATTCTGCACTGCTGTTACAGCCAACTGCACACAATTTCAGGTTGACAGGCAGCTCAAATACTACAGGGAACAGCCAAAGACCCATCTGACATGAGGACAAAAAAGGACTTGTAAAACAGGAACACCAAGAATAGTTTTTCCACACAGTTCTAGAAATCAGTATTTGAATGAAAAGACACAAGCAGACCCCAATTCCCTTACTTACCGTCCTTTACGGTTTCCTTGGTCAAGCTCCTTCCATAGTGCTGGTTTTGTGTCTCATAGCTGTCTGAGGACACATGGTACACCTGAAAGAGGCAAGAAGGGGACTCCCTACGTATTTTGAAGCACCAGTATTTCTGCAGAGCAATAAACACCTCACAGAGAGGCCACAAAACATTTAGCCCTCACAGTTTCTAGGTTTCTAGCAGTGCCCAGCAAAAAAGTGCTCTCCAAAACTCTCCCCTCAGCCCTTGGGCTCCAAGCTACAGATTTCCCATGCTAGGGACATCCTGGTGGTGGCAAAAAGCAATGTACCCTTTACAAGGAACTCTTTTATGGTCTTTGAAAACACAACTGAGACCTGAAACTATCAGAGTCCTATCTGTGTTACTGTGGATGTTAGATCAGTAAGCAACAAAGCAAAAATTTCAATGCAATCATTCTGAGTTCTTCAAATTATGAAACTATTTCACACAAAAGCAAAACAGTAAGAATTACTGTTTGTGACCACCAAGGCCCATTTCCCTAAGACACATCTGCAGCTGTCAGCACAAATGAGGCTGCACTAAATAAATGGCAGAAGCCATGGCAAAAGCTGGTTCCAGCATCAACAGCAGTACTTCAGCTCTCATCTGAAAGGGAGGCAACTCACTTGGGTACAGTTTTGTCCATATCAGGAATTGTACAAGCTGAAGAACTTAATTCAAAACTGCCTCACATATAGACATATTTTCTCTCACACTGAAATATTTCCATAGCAGAAATGTGCGAGGCAGCAAGGCCCAAGTATAATTTGTTTATGAGAGTGCAGACAATTTTTATTTGCAGAAATAATGGTGTTACCAAGCAGGCAGTTGTCTCTGGCAGGAACTTGGTGCTTGGCACTTGTTCAGACCACCCATCCCTGTGGCATCCACCCCATGCACAGCCCTGCCCTCCCCTCCCTGCTGTAAACAGAGAGGATCCCACTGCATGAGTCTGGGCACACTGCTGAGGTGCCTGCTCCTCATCCCTCCTCTGGGGCTTTAGTCTTGCTGGAGCCAACCAATAAAGACCACAACAGTTAAACAGCAGCAATTAAAAGAAATATTACAGGAGCATTAAATAAAAAAAAAAAAAAAAAGGAATTCCATGTTTTCATTACAGCCCACCACCCTGAAATGTCTCTCCCCCATCCAAACAACAAAAAGTGCAGTATGATTACACAGACCCCCACTTCCTGTTTTGCAAAGCAACTGGGAAGAACAGTCTCAAATAGCTTTCATTTTGACAAAAAGACTGATTTTAAGTCTCCAGCTGTGAACTGAAGGGGCTGTAAACAGTTCTCATTATTCTAAAAAAATAAAGAGCTGTAAGTCTAAATGTTTGAATTCAGTAGCAGAGACACTTCACATTGTTATGATACTCGGAGAAACTGAGGCCTCCATGTCTATGAAATGAAGAAGGCCATAGCAGAGATGAGTTATTCTAAAACTGCATCTGACAACTGTGATTTTGGGTTCACAAGAACAATAATTTTGCTCCACTTAGTTTTTGCTGGGTTTTTTCCAAAGCACATGAAAAAAGTACCAGCATACAATACAGAAACTCAAAGATTACTTATATAAACACTTCAGGTACCAAAGTAACCTTCAAAAACATACCAAAAGTTTCAAAACTTTTTACAGAGCTACAAGCCAAAGGCAGTTAAATAAAGAATGATATGGCTTAGAAATAGAATCAAGAGTCTGAAGACTACATCTAAGTTTTCACTAGCTGTGCCTTCATTTTAATGATATTAAGTGTTCTCATGTAGTTGGACAAGAGGCAGCTTTCTGCAGACATCAGCACTGCAGCAGTACCTGACCAAATCTTGTTTACCAGAACCTTCCTTATCTCTTCCTGTAGGAGCTGCAGTTTTTCTGACATGGGCACTAGCTCAAACACGCTGATTAAAATCTGCAAGCTCATTTTGTTTTCCAAAGAAATGCTGGAGCAGCACATCAGACCCTGTGCTTCTGAGCTGGGCTTCCCAAGAAGGCACCTCACCTCTCCTCATCATTTGAACAAAACCATTCCCCAAATGTCTTTCTATATAGCTTACAGACAGATGTGCATGCTGCATTAACAGCACATTTTTAACTATACAAAGCAGCCAGTGACCAAGTCCCAGAGCCACAGGATGAGTGTAATGTATGTGTTTAATTAACTGCCTTGTGCACTCAGAAGGCCCTGGGTCACCCAGAGGCTTGGCTGCAGCCAGTGGTACTAAAGGACAGCAGGTCTGCATCATCACAAAAACCTCCTCTGACCAGCACCTGGAGACTTTGCACAACTGCAGGAAGAGCCTGGCTGAACATTCCTGGAAAACCTCACTCAAATACAGACACATCACACCCCATTCTGAAAGCCAAGCACAAACAGAAACCATCTCTGACCAGCCCTTGCTCCACCCTCACCCAGCCAAACACAGGGGTGGTTGTGCTGGAGGAGCAGGAGGCTAAAATCAACTTCCTATTTAACCTCTTGCTCTACTGTGCTTTTGTTCACATAGCCACCACCCATCATCTGCTGTTAACCCTTCCCAAAATGACATTTTGCCTCTGAACCAAGCTTTTTCTGCATCCCTGTTGTTGCAGCTGCTGTACTGGCCCATTTCTGTCAGAACTGCAAGTCAAGCCAGATCTGTAACCTTAACAGCAGCCAAGAAATTATTAGACAGGGCAATCTCATTTCTTGTCCACCTGCCACAGCTTGTTAAGTGTTTGCTCTGTATCCACTGGCAGGTCTCCTGCAGAGTGCAACACAAAGAAAACTCCTTCTATGAGCTGCCACACACTGCCTTCAAGAAACTCCTGCTTCATCAGGCATTTTTATATATTCTTACTATGCAAGATCACAACTGTTGTCAGTACCTAGCTGCTACCAAAGTTGGAGCCACAAGCTGAAACTGGGGCTAAGCAGGTGGCACCCCACCTCATCCATCCCCCAGCTCTGCAGGGACCCTCCTGGTGCCAGGCCAAGACCCACAGCCATGCCTGGGCACCTTCTGCCTGTACCCTATGACTGTACCCATAGAAATACAGGTTTCCTTCAAGCTCAAGTAACCCAGGTTTCTCTGCAGGCCCTTCATCCTGCCTTAGTGCAAGACTTAAAGAGTTTTAAAAAGCCTTATTTTTTCTTTTCAAAAAGAAAGTAAAGCAAAGATTTGAAGAAAAAATAACAAAGGGAGAAATTTTGTTAAAAAACATTCTCTTATTTGGTATCTCTGCTTTATAGTAATGCTCTCACATTACCACTGCTGCTGAGAGCATGCCCCATTGTCCAAATCCATTTATCTAAACATCTCCTATTCTATTCTCCTATTTATCTAAACATTCCCTAATTTTTACTTTTTTTTTTAACCTTATTTATTTATTGTAGCTAGACCTAGACCACAAGTGATGGCAGTACACACATCCCTGCTTCCTGCTGCCTTGAAAATCCAGCATAGGAAGGATGCACCCCTGCTCCCTCATTTCCAAGACTATACTTTGATATTGCTCTGCCCATTTTGCTTCTTTGCTCCTCTGGACTAATTTGACTGAGTGCTTCATATGACTAATTGTGCCCCCAATGTTCTGATAGTCAATATACAGTTTTAGTCAAGTCCTGACATAAATAAATTGTAGAATGAAATTATGCTGAAATTTATCCAGTGGAAAAGCAGACTATTAATCTGCTAAATAAAAGAAACTACAACACTGCAATTAAATCATGAACCATCTTTAAAATAGCTTAATACAGTAATTTTAGACTCCCAGAACTTCCACGAAGCATCTCATTAGAATAAATTTCTTTTATGTAATAAAAGACCACCTGCTCCAGCTTCAAAGATTTTTATTGCAAGGCTTTTGGTTGGTTTATTTGGCTTAGGGCTTTATTTATTTATTTATTGTTTCAGGGATTTTTTTTTGTTTGCTTTCTTTTAGGTTTTGTTTTGTTTTGTCTTCCTGTTTCCTTAAACATCAAAGCTTGAATTAGACTTCTAAATGTAAAAACCCCAGCTCTGGTAATTTTTCAGTCTAGAAGAATCTGAACAGTAGATGCAAAATTTAATACTTTTATGACTTCCCTCCTAAATCTTGTTACTAGCAGATCAGAGCTTGGGAAAATTACCACAATACTAGACAGAGTTCATAAAAACCTCATAAAATAGAATCAGTTACAGTCTATTTCTGCAGGAAAATATCCTGCAGAATCATGTGCTACAGATTAGAAAATTCACTTGTAAAACCAGCTTTGATTATTATACATTACTGCCTGCATGTTCATAGGCACAAACAATAGAAGTCGATGGATTATAATGTTAAAATTACATAATCACCAGTTTGTGCTTTAAGAAAGCATTTCAGAAATATTTTGGAGTAAGTGAGATTGCAATCGATGCCCTGGAAACAAAAGGAAATCTGCAGAAACTGTGGATTCCAAAGGACTGTGAATCTGAAATGAGAGCACAGCCCACACATGGTGCTTGCACTCAACAGCAGGCAAATGCTCTGTATTTAACATTGCCTGTGCTGCAAAGAGATTTCTTACCTGTTTGCATGTCTGCTACTGAAATCTCGTATTACAATTTGTATTTTTGATATTGCAACAGTACCTGAGACTTGCAACTTCCATAACCAATCATGTCCACTCTGACAGAACCCCAGAATGATCTGGTTTCAAAGGGACCCAGTTCCAATCCCCTGCCATGGGCAGGGACATGTTTCACCAAACCAGGCTGCTCCATGTCCTGTCCAACCTGGCCTTGGACACTTCAGGGGTCCAGGGGCAGCTGCTAAAGAAAGGAACTTCTCCACTAAGTACAGAATTGTGGTTTTAAACAAGGTTTTTAAAATTAACTGTGCTTCCTACATATGTTTCCATGCATTTATTCTGTCTATTCAGTGTGTTAAGCTAAATACAGATCAAATGCCAGAAGTGTGTACATAAATTAATGCTGGGCTAGACAGGAGACTCCTATTTTTAAGGACACACCACACATTTTATATATGAACAGATGACTGCTTGTTTACCAGTGCATAAGAAAAAGCTGTTTCAATAGCCTTTTGGGTAAAAATACACTGTCAATAGATTTTGGGCTAAAACCCCCACCTGTAACACTTTTTTGCTTCTATCTCTTCATGACAACTTATACAATGGGTGCTTTAGAAAAAGCACAGCTATGTTCTCTGTCTTTCCTGGCCCTCTCCTTCTTGGCCTTGTCAAAATTTACCACACAAGCCCACCTCCCTGTTAAAAAAACCACTGAAAGGAGAAATTACAGCCAAACCCCTGAAGTTCTTTGTTACATCATGTTTTGTCCAGTGAACAGGAACAACCTTCATGCAGCAGGTGAGCTGTTCTGGGCAGTACATATCTGTGTAGGAGTGTTTTATAGCATGGCCAGAATGTTGCAAAAATAAAGCAAGCACAGAGAACAGCCCATAACCAAGAGGCAGAAAACATGCCTTGTGAATTCAGACTTGGCCAAGTGCTGTGTGAGGGCAGGAGGAACCTTTTCAATTCTATGTGGAAAACAACTTCCAACATGTAACTGGGTTCCAAAGGCAAAAATCCAAATCTCATCTAGTTAAACACTGGATGGAAACTGCACTACTTGGGAGAATCATCCTTATACATCCAGTCTGAAATAGGGGATTGAAAAAAATTCTGCAGCAGGACAAAGGCACAAATGAGTGACACTGTTAGAAACAATAGTCACAAGCACACCACAGAAGCAATCAATCATTCCTTTTGCACTGTCATCAAACATAGGACATGAAGCACATTGTTTTACCAATGAGATAAGAAAGGTTACATAATGACATCAACCCAATCCAAAGTTATAATCTCTAACCTTCCTTTTCCATCCAAACTGTTTGGCTGTTTTTTGACTTAACTCCCACATTCTTGCTCACAGGCTTACATAATTACTACTCCTGACCACTATAATTTATATAGCAGCTTATCTCAAGGCAGAGTGAAGGGCTGGGAGGCTGGGCAGCTCTGCACAAAACATTACAGAGATATTAGAATTATCTTGAACAATGGTGCAATCTGGCTGCTGTTGCTATTGAACAGCAAAGAGGAAGCTTATCAAAGTCTCCAGCCATTTATGCTCTACAGCTTGAGGAGCCCTGGCTTTGTGTATGAGAAGAAAAACAAAAATCCCACATCAAAAAGAAAACTATTCCTGTACGTATCATTGCAGAGAAAACTACTCTTGAATTCCATCAGTGACATCCACACATTTCTCTTACTGAGCCACAAGTGTTCTGTACAGCTTTTCTTTACAGTCAAGTTTTAAAGTACCCAATATACACCTGCTGACTCTTAGTATTTCTAAGAATACTAAGAGTTAATAGGGACATCTGCATGCCCAACTGTTCCCTGAGTGTGTAAATATCAAAAGAAGTTTTCTTCTGATGGAAAACCTTTTAAAATGTAAAATTTAAGCAGCTGTTCATGGCTATATGCATCACCTCTGCAAAACATCAGCAGCTGCTCATGGCTATATGCATCACCTCTGAGAGCTTACTTACTCTTCCTTAAATAGAAAAAAAATCTAAAATTGTTTTTATTTAAAAGCAGAGTGTAAAGATGAAGAATGTGGAGGATACAGCTTATTACTGAATTATTAGAAAGACTGGTTCAGTATGTAAGTCTCTGATATAAGCCTGAAAGAATATAAACACACAAAAATCTGCTTAATAATTTTAAATATCTGTTGTGATGGTGAAGAATTAATTGCAACTTCATTCAGTTTTAAATACTGAATATTAGCCCATCTCTTGCACACATATAGAGCGCCCAGGTTGCAAATACCTTGCCCTAATGGACAAAGACAAGTTAGAGAATTGTTCTGACCCAGGGCAGTGCTTTGGAGCTGATTTCACAGGACAGCTGATCCCAGCACTACCAAGACATTCAGGTAACACTGTATTTATGTGTAACTCCAGAGGATTGCTGTTTGCCAGGAAAACCACTTGCTGCACCTGGTGTGGGACAAGAGGCCTGAGCACAAACTGAAAGTGAAAACAAAAGTCCTTACCCTCATTCCAAGAACCAAAAAGCCAATCTCTTCCATGAGTGGGTACTTGCTGACCTGCTGCTGTATCTTCTCTGCTGAAGCATAGGGGTCATAACTTTTCTGACCTATTTTTACATCCATTATGCAGGGCTTGTTAAACTTACGGGTCACATCTTCCAGTTTTAGATATATATCTGTCAAAAAAGCAAAGCTTTTGTTAACAGTGGCTCATAGCAAAATAATTACATAGCTTCTGCTGAGCACCTGTGGAGGAATGTGAAGAGTTTAAGGCTTAGTATCACATAAATTCAAGAGTCAAATTTGTCTCTGAATGCAGGCTAAATCATGGTCACTGACACCCACAAATTCTATTGCTATAAAATCTAAATGCTTTCTTGTTTAGAAAATTGTATACAATTAACATGCATTAACATTCAAATTCAAATTATTGCCCAGATAAAATCCCTGAGTAGCTTTTATTAAGTCATTAACATATCACAAAGAGCATTACTAACCACATACAAATGCAAGTTTAGAGCTGTGTGGCTAGTTTTGCAATTCAGTTGATCTCCTGTGTCATTTTAAAAATGAAGAGAACATTTCAGTCCTGGCCTTCAGGGGCTGAACTGCAGCTCATTTTGCTTGTTTTTATGCCACTCCCATCTACACTTGTTTCTCATGGCACACCTTTTGGGGAAAATGCTCCTGGAATCCTAGGCTGCCTTTCATCCATTTCTAACAGCCCTTTGGCTGGACTAAGAAACCCCAGAAGTACTTGGAGTGCCTGAAGATTTAAAGGAGTATCTAAACCCTGATAAAAATGATCATTACCAGCATGACCCCCACACCCCCTATCAGAACTCCACAAGGAAATGGAGTCAGCACCCAGCCAGCTCTCAGACAGCTGCACCCACCTCCAGCCCTTGCTAGGACATAGCATAACCAACACAGCCTCAACACTGGCCTCATTCTTTATTTGTGCTTTGTAAATCCACCTGTCACCAGCACAAACATGACGTCTGCTTTTCTTTCCAGTACAGCCTACTCCATAAATGTATCTCTTTGGCTTCAATGCAGTTTGAACACAAAAAACCATTGTATTATACCCCATTCCTGCAGTATGATCTAAAATGGGATTGTGAGAGAAAGCAAAACTAGTTCAAGCTTAAAGAGGCACCAAGTGCCTTGTTTGAAAGCTGTACAGACAGGTAACAAACCAGTCCCAGTCAAGATGAAGGGAACAAGCAACATTTCATTTACACTTAATAAGCAGAAACACTTTGTTAAGGAAAAGAAATAAAAGGGACTTGTAGTACTTTTAGTCACTAGCACTGGATTGTACAGAGCTGTGAGCCCAGAGCCTGCAGAGCAGTGACTGCCAAGGGGAAGGTCAGGCTTCCAATATCAAGACTGCAGCAAACCTACAAATATATCTTCAATCTACATTTGGGAACAAGGTACACATACACTCTGCTAAACTCCATCATCTGCAGCAACTTTGATTTCTATCAAGGCTACACAAAGCTCATTAACACTACAGATAACAGAGTTGGAAGTGAAGTGTTTTGGTTGAACTGTTGCCACAGCTTTCTATGAAGAGGACTCATGACAGTGCACAGCCTTTTCAAGAAACAAAACAAACAAAACCGAAAGTTTCTCTTCTTTAAACAGTTATTCCTACTGCCTAAATCTGAATGACTGGGGGGGACCTCCCAAAACCCAGCCCCATGGTGCACAGTGTTTTTGAATCCCCAAAGCAAATGAGCAATGTGTTGAATTACTGTCTCTTGGTTAGACCACATATTTTCACATCTTAAGATCATACTGCAAACAGAAAAAAATTATTTGCAATTGAGAGGGAATATTAAGTGAACTCCATGACACATTAAATTGTGAGGGGAGGAAAAAGCTCTTGTAGAGCTATTTGAGTTAATGCCAAATAGGAAAGCATGAAGCTAAATCTGAGCTAAGAAACTGCTGGTACTACCACAATCTTGCTTTCCCGTTTTCCTGTAGATATTACACCATGTCTTTGGATACTGTCCTACTACTTCTTTGAAAAACAAGTCTGTCAAGTGATAGCATAAGCAGAAGAAGACAGAGTTATTTTAAAGGAGCATGGCATCTAATTTGGTGCCCATGTATTCAAATAGATTCCATGGCATCCCTTTGTGTGTTCCAGAAGCTCTATTTCCCCAGTGTGAATTAGAAAAGCCCCCTAAAAAAATCTAGTTTCTAATAAAAAAATATCCATTTTCTCTCGAAGAGACAATCCTCCAGTTGTTCTACCAAAACCACCCTTTTCTTCCTGACTCCCAATGTTATACAAACACAAATTTTAAGACACCAGATCTTTGTTTCATTCAAACCAGTAACAGAGGATGGCAAGCAGAACTCCCCACCATGACACCTGCTGAAGCAAGTGGTAAGGCAGAGTGATGGGATCCAGCCTCTGGAGAAACAGCAGCAGATTCCAGTCTGAATGCTTCCCCAGCCCCAGAGTATCCATCTTTCTTTTCTTTCACACCCACAAAGTGCTTCTTCCTTTGATCACCTGGCTGCACATGACCATGGAACCAGCCCACTCCTCCACCATGGCCTCACCCAGAGCAGGAGCAATGGGCAATGTCCATCAGGCCCAGCTACTCAGGAAACCTCTGCTGTACAAACAGCCACACCCCATCTACCCCGCAAGGAAGACTCCTTGATCTAATTCAGATCTAATCCAGCCACCAGACTGCAAACTGGAACCAGTTGTTAGAGGGAATGGCAGTGGGTTCCAATACAAGTCCAAAAAAACCTGACAGAGCTCACAACTGCCAAAAATGAGTCTCCAGAAATGTTTTCCAGGGGGTTTGGATTAAGAGATAAAATTAGAACAGTACCATTTGGTGCAGTAGGTGGTGACCAGACACCGAAGTATTTTGGCAGATATTCCCGCAGCTCCAGAAGAATTCTGTCGCAACAGTCGGAGTCATAAACCTGAAATAAAATAGGGAGGCTTGGAGAGATCATTTCAAACATTCATTTTTGCTGGTGGGGGAGTGAACAAGTAGCTGCATGGTACTTGGTAGCTGGCTGGGGCTAAAACATGACAACTTCCAATTGTCCCATAATTATACTTTCTTACAGTATTTGTTTTCATAAGTCTAAGATATTTACCTTACATTCAAAAACCATACAAGATGAAGATGATAATTATCACAGTCCAACATAAATGAGTGGCATCCTTTCTTTCAAATTTTAAAGTGGCAATGATGCATCAACCCCAAGCACAATTTATGTGATTGTTAACTCCAAAGCCTAGCTATTGAAAAAGGTGTTCTCACATTTGCATTCAAGACTGTGTAGGATTACTGCATAGTATTATATATCCAAATCTTTTTAATTTATATCAGGTAAAGTACAGAAGCTCAGACTAGACAGCATTTTCTCATCTTCCTCAAGACAATTAATGCTGTGGGTACATCACACAGACTACGCACAATTCAAATATATTTCTTTTCATTTGCTTTTAATGCTTTCAACATTTTTTTCAACTTCTTTAGGAAAAAGAGTAACAGTTTGGAAACAGCAGCTGGCTTATATTCCTGAAAGAACAACTCTGCAGTCAAAATGAAGCTTTGGATACTATCTGTTATGGAATTGCATGACTGCTACCCATTTGCAGCATGCTAAGAGGGTTTCAAAACCATTCCCTTGCCCAGATTCCCCCATCCCACCCAGTGATGTAGCTGCAGACATGCAGACATAGGGGATTGCCTCTATCATGCTTCCCCAAGCTTTGTAGACTATAAGATCCATATGCACACCAGGTTACAATGCCTGTCACTGCATTTAGGAGCCATCTCATCCCACTCCCCACAGAGATGTCCCAGTTGTGCTGCCATCAGAGTGGTGTCCTTCCCCTCAGCCCTACCATGGCCACACAGCAACACCCAGGGCACTGCACAGTGAGCTGCCATGCTCAGGGTTCTGCTGTCACTGCAGTGCAGCCAGAGCTCACTGCAAAACTGGCAGCAAGGCAAAACAAATATCAGGTGTTAACAGCTCTGCAGACTTGGCTCAGCTCACTGTGTCAGGCCACATTTAACCACACTGGGGGATACCTGCCAATAGCAGCTGCTGTTGGGGGTAATGGGGGGGTAATGCAAAACACAAACCTGTAGTTGTTGTTCATACAGCTAGGGAGAAAAAAAATGGATCTGAAGTCCCCAGGCTATTTCAGAGCATGGAGGCAAGACTTGGCTCTGCTCACCAGTGCCAGTCACTCAACACAGCACCTCATGCAGCAGCAGTGTTAAAATTAGTTAATGGGAGTTTGTCCTAAATTTAGGCTTCACTGCAAAAATCTCAAACTAGGTGAACTCAAATCTCCAGTGTGCTTCTAACAGAGGGACTTCTCCACAGCTAAAGCAGAGCTCTCCTGGCCTTGCACCAGGCACAGTTCTGGCACCCTCCCTGTTAGTGGGCAGTGATCAAGAACATGATACACCCATGCTGACTGTGTGCTAAGGTATGGAATTTACCCATTCCTTTAACTTCATTTAACTCATGGTACAGGCCCCATTTAAACGAAACTAAGGCAAAGGGCTGAATCCTGAAAGCTCCAAGTAGACAAATATGTGCACAGTGTATTGCAAAACTCTGGGGTACACCCAACACCACACCCTCTGCCACTACTGTTGCTATCTTTAAGTACAGAGAAGCTGCTGGGTGTGTACCTTTAGAGTGACAGTGTCACATCACAGGGCACTGACCTCTCTTCACATGTCATGGTTTGACAAGCTGGCATGACCACCGAGGATGACACATAATTGTATGTGTAAGTCCAGTTTCCCCTCACTTCAGCATCAGCTGGTGTGCTGCTACTGTGCTCTAAGATGAAAACCTTGCTTGCCCCTGTGGTCAGTGCATTTGTGCACCATTTCCTCACTGAGCCTCAGGGGGTGCCAGCAGAGGACAGTGCTTTCTCCAGAAGACTGCAGTGTAGTTTGATCTTACTCGTTTAAGGAAAAGGAGAAGCAGCTAAGGGTGGAAGAGAGGGGAAGATGAGCAGCAGGGAGATGCTGAGGCACAGCCCTGATCCCTGCTCTCTCTGCTAACAGCTCAGACAGCTCTGCAGGCAGCACTTGCTGGGCCAGCACTCCAAGCACTGACTGGGGCCATTACTCCATGCTGTATACAAGTAGTACAAACCCATTTTTTGTTTACTGGGTAGCTTATGATCATAGCACTTGACATCCAAGGTAGGGCACTCCACTGCACTAAAGGAACACTAATGCTCTTCTCCCAGATGAGCTTGAGGAGATCTGAGAGGCAGAAATCATCATATCTTTTACATGGAAGCAAGTGCATATCAACAGGTCAGGACCGAGAGGAGAAATGGAAACCAAAAGTGCAACAGACAACAAGGAGAAACACTGAATGCAACTGAAAAAATAGGCAAACATAGTAACTCATTTACTCATTTACTTAATTTATTAGCAAAAGATTCTGAGAAAGTGGAATGTCAGGAGACCACTTTGGTTTTTTTAAGAGAGAGGGGACCCTTTAAAAACTAAGTCAACATTAGGCCATTAAACTTAGCAACTTAGCAAGCTGCAAGTAAACTTAGCAAGTAATTATGAGTAGGTTCCTGTGTATTTCAAATAGCAGGATAAAACAAAGATACTCAGATAATTTATAATGGGGTTTAATAGCCCAAAGTTGAGACAAAATGGGAAAGAGAGCTCCAGAAGCAGTATCTTCTAAGGAGTCTATTCCTCAATAACCTGATATAAAACATTTTAAATGGAGACAGAACTCCCAATAATGCATTTCTCACTATCACTACTTTGACATAACAGAACTAACTGCATTACTTCTGTCTCTCAAGAAGTTATCTTGCTCTCAGAACCAGTAAGAAACTCCCCTCATAACTCTGACATAACATTTACAAGGCACTTATTTGACCTTAATATAGACCTCAATCTTAGCCTGTAATGTATTCACATGTCAAACAAGAATAAGCACTCAATTAATAAAGATCAGAGGAAGTCATTTGGTGTGGGCAAAGCAACAAAACCAGACATTTCAGGAATTATGCTCATTCTTGTGCCGGACAGAACCACTTCTGTTCATTAGAACTGGGCCTCATGAGCAGTACACACGTCATGGGCATTTGTTCTCACTTCATACAACCTGGCAGCAAGCACAGAACACCAAATATAAATGTAAACATGATAAAGCCATCCCTAAAGCTACAGGAAATCTACCATGCACCTCATGCCCCAGAAGGTATTGCTACCAGTACTGCTGGAAGATCCTGAAAAATGCAGGTTATCACTCATCTCAGGAAAACCTTAATAAATAAACCATTAGATTTTTACTTATATCAGCAATATTCCAATTTTACTTCAAGAAACAGTGAACAGTGCTTTTTTTTTTTTAATGTAACAGTGGATGTCCATTTCTCCAGCCAACACTGACAAATACAAGCAATTTAATTTCTGTGTTAGCATATCTAACATCTTTATCCAATAAATCAAGAAATGCAAAACAACTCTATGCCAGCTCAGCCTGGGGAGTTATCCCTTCTACACATCACAGGCTGCATTCTTCCAATAGCACAGACTGGGACATAAAATGTCCCCAGAAAAGCAAGTAAATAGGATGCTGACATTTGGAGGGCTCACAGCATGACCATTACAAATGACAGCCACTAACTCATAGGAGGAACATGCTCCAGATATGTTCAGTGGCAGCTCAGATACTCTAACAGACACCATGAAGTCATAATTTCCAGTCATGCAGGATTTTTAATTCTGAGGCTTATTTACCATCCCTGTTTCAATCCAAAGTACACTCTGGGGTTTCCTGTAACAGATTCATCTGCTTTTACTGCAAAGGGGAACTGCTCAGGACAATGGGAATGTTCTTCTCCTTATTTAAAACACAACATTCAGAGCTTTTTCTAAAGAGTAGCTAATGGCTTAAATGATAGAGGGAGGGTAAAACAAGTGTTTAAATTTCAACAGGAAACCAGTTCTAGCAGTACAGACCTGCCTTGAAACGTCCTGATGAAAAAATACCACTTTGACAGAAAAGTAATCTATAGAGAACCTTCTAAAGTACATTCAAGAGCTAGTTTAAAAGAACATGTACTTGAAGGCTATTTGAGTAGGAAACTTTAAGTGTCAGAGCAGGCATATCAATCTGAAGTGTCACCTTTCTTTGTTGCCAGCTATCATAAACTGTCCCTAAAGGCAGCAGCACTACAGCCTGCACAGTCTCAGATTACACAGCCAGCTGCCAACATCAGGCAGAGAATTCACTGTCCACCGTAGGATTTGAGACTTTTGTTGAGCTGTTAATGCAGCTAAGTCATACCCTTAAATTAGCAAATGTAAGATTTACAGATGCTAGGGCAACCTCAATTCCCTCCTCCATTGGGTATGTATTATATCACAGACTTTAATTACCTGAGCACACACTGCATTTCCCTCCAGACTCTTACATCAGCCAGTTACACCAGGCAAGTGCAAGGGTCAAAAAAACGAGGTTGAAACAGCAGCTGTGATTTTAGCAATTCATATCTGCTTGGTTCTACAACTCAGACAGCCCTGGGTTTTTTCTGAAGTGATACCATCATGGTTTGAGCTGTGTCCACAGAACCTGTTTCCACAAAAATCACTGGCATTGAGCCAGCTCTGCTTATATTCACAATCTCATACCACAAGAACTTCAGAAGTTAAATATTTATGAATGTTGTTACACTAAATACTACCATAGCAAATTGCTTAATTTACTGTCTAATATGCAGCCATATTAATGAAATTGCAATCACTCACTGAAAATACACAGGGAGCACTCCCTGCCAGCTCATGGTGAGTTTTTCAACAAGCACCATCCCCAAGTCCTCTCCCAGGGCTGCTCTCAATCCCTTCTCTTCCCAGGCTGTTGGTGTGTCTGGGATTGCAGGGCAGGACCTGCACTTCTCG